ATATATATATATATAACTAATTTCTCTGATCATAGTCATAGTCTGGCCTAAGATGCATGAGGTCACCTTGGGCTGACACTGCCTGGATGGACATCTGAGGCAGATATAGCCAAATAAAGTGAGGCCTTGTCCTTGGCCAAGCCTTGCTATCATCAGTAGGCATGGAGCTCTGAGAACCCCTTCAGTGCATGGGGTCTGTAGAGTTGCCCTTGAACTCGTTGCTCCCATCTGCACCTCTGCCACTGTGGAGATGCACTTGCACTAAGGCTGACTTCCAGGGGCCTGAGTTCTAGTCCCAGCTCTGCCCCAGTTCAGCGGTATGACCTTGGCACGTGATTTAACTCCTTTGGCACATTATTTCTCTCGCCCCTAAAGTAGCGATACTTTCTCATGGGGTTGTAGAGGGTTTCAGGGTTATCATCATGATCATGATCCAAATGAAACTCAATCAGGGTTTCCACTGTGGGGCCCGGGCATTGAGGGCAGAAAGTGTCTGAGAAGGGAGCAATACTGGACGATCCGGGATCCGGATGACCCGGGATCCGGACTTGGCTCCCCCCTCCATCCTCACAGCAGTAAGCTTTGTTCTTTTGTTGCTCAGCTGTGCATATGAACAAGTCGGTTCCCTGGGGACTGGCCTAAGCCTTGGCTGGCAGATACGTGGCCTGGACACGGTGAATTTGATCCTTCTTCAATGACCTGTGGTCTCATCATCAAACTGACAGAGGGGAAGGCGGGAGAGGCAGAACTTCTGACCCCTGCACTCTTGGGCTCCTGTTTTTCACCACCAGAGACCTCTCCTCTTAGAACATATCTGCCCGTGGATACCCTATCTTGAAAGTATTGGTCTGCCCAAAGAGCCTGCATTCATTAAGTAATGATTAATTCTCTCCCATTTCTGAGATTATTCAGAGTCTTTCTTCAGCCTGAGGAAACTAGAGTTCCCACACCAAGCTGATAATATTCTAGCTAGAAGCAAAGATACTTGATGCCATGTTTTGATTAGCATGTTCGATGTCATCACGCAGACAATGAAAGGCTCCCAGGCTATTTTTGAAAGATCGAAAATAGTCCCCTATCCATAGGCTCTGGACACCCCATCCTGGGATCCTCTGGTGTGGCGGGGTGCTTGGTTCTGGCTTTCCAGTGGCAGGTACCCTGTCCGGCTTCTGCGCCTACAAAGATGGAAACCTCCGGGACTGAAATGACCCCAGAACCCACATGCCCAACTAACCCTTACCCTTTTAAAATTTGTTTTTCTGTCTTCTCCCTCTAGAGTTTATCCTGAAACCATCATCAGAAGAAGACCTCAAAAGACTCTTGACATCCCTCAGCTGAAGGGAAAAGACATCTGTTGAAAGAGGTATGGTTTAGCAACATGGAAGGCTGGCATCTTAACTTATTTAGATAAGAAAGTCTAATGCGCTCTCTTATCCTCTCTCCCTGCCCCCGAATTCTCCCTCTCTGAGTGAGAGGCCCTCAGCACCTGTTGAGGAGGTGCAGGGAGGCTCCGGGCAGCGTGCTTCTGCCCCCACCCCCGGGAGTTTATTCAGGGGTGGGAGCAAAGGGGAGACAAGGAAGGATCTGAAGCTGAAGTGGGGCCTCTTCAAGGTGGGCTGCTGCTCCTTCCAGGGGGGTCACTGGTTGTGGTTGCTCCTTAGAGTTGATTCAGAAAGTGAGGGTGGGAGGGAGTGAACTCTCCAAGGGAAAGCAGAGTTCCTGGGGGTCCACTGAGGACCCAGCCTGTGTCAAGAACCCCACCCATGCCTCACCCCTCGCCCCACCTCTGCCTCCCCCCTCACCCACCATAGTCTGGGCACTGGGGGGAGGAAATGCTTTCCTAGGGTGGTCCTTTACCCACCCTTCACCAGGAGTCTCTTGGATAAAGCTTAAATCCACAAGGATTAGGATCAATCACCACATTCCATGAAGAGATTGAGAATGGAAAAGCCTTGGTGTGCTTCTTGGGCTCTGGGAAGTCCTTCTCACTTCCTGTCATCCCAGGCCCCTGGTGATGGGCTGTGTGGCCTCGTGGAAGTTTTCTGAATGAGGAGCCAGGATGCCTGTCTTCTGGCCCTGCCTCTGCCACCAACATGCCTTAGAGCCTTGCAAGTCATTTCCCTCTTTGGGCCTTGTTCTCTCATCTGTAGAATGGGGCAGCAATGACCTTAATCTCTGTCCTAGCTCTCACATCCTCAGTTTATGAGATTCTAAGATGAGGGCTGAAGGAGAGGAAGTGACAGGTAGGGAGGGTCAGCAGGAAGGCAGAGGTGGATCGAGAGCTTGGGAAGGCCACGGGGAGGGGAACGGACTTGAAAGCTCTGAAAAGATCTGATTGCCAGGCTTGGGCAAAGGACGATGACTCAGTGGAAAGACCACAAGGTCTGAGGTGCACACGAACCTGGGTTTGAATCTCAGTAAATAAGAAGAGAAAAATTAACAAATGCTTATTGAAGGCTTCTGTACACCAAGCATATTATCTCATTCAGTCCTCTCAGTAACCCTATGATCTTAGCACTCGTATCACCTCCATTTCAGGGAGGAGAAAAACAGGTTACAGAGAAGTTAAGTGGCTTGCCCAAGGTTGCACAGCAGTAACATAGCCGGGATTTGAAGCCAGTGCCTGAACAACCATACCATTTTTGTATCTTTTGCTTACTAGCTATGTGAGTTGAAGCATAAGGTTAAAAATAACTTTTTAAGGTGATGGAAAAATTTGGAAGTGATAGTGGTGATGCTTGCACAGCATGATGAACGTAATTAATGTCAATGAATTATACACGTAAAAAATGTTGACATGGCAAATGCTTGGTTTTATGTACATACTTAACCACATATTAAAAAAAAAAAAACTTTTTAGCCAAATCACCTGTCTAAAATCCTATTTCTATGAAGAAAAGTAAAAATGATTCATTTCTTTGCCTTACTTTTTTTTTTAACTTAGTGCTTTTCATAAAACCTCCTGTGAGTCTTAGTTTTCTGATCTCTAAAATGGGGCCGTAACACCTACCTCCGGAGTTGTTTTGGGGAAAAGATAAACTGAGGAAGGAGCATAAAGCTCCCCACACCATTCTTTGTACACAGGAGGTACTTCCTACAAAACCCCCTCCACCTGCCTTCCCCACCCCTGGGGCGTGCAAACTGTAAAGTGCTGTGCCCACTTGCCTGATGGCACTTTTTATCTGGCTGCCTCCTGTGCCCATGGTTGGGATGCCTTTGGCCATTTTCCTAACCACTGATCTGATACTCCTCTGGTGTCCATGCTCCCCCTCTCTCCTTCTGGGATTGTACCCCTGGCTGCCCTGGGTTCTTTTAGGCTGCAGGCACTGTGTTCGGAATCCAAGGCACTCCAGCCGCCTTCCAGGGGCAGATAAAGCAGGGCCTGGCCCAGGCCCAAGGGGACAGTGACGCAGCGGCAGTGAAGCCTGGGCCCTGCCCTGCCCTGCCTCTCCCTCACTGACACTGTCCATGTCTTCAGCCCAGCCAGAGCTACCTGAGCCACTGTCATCACTGTGCCCCTCCTGGCAGCAGAGGCCCTGAGCCCACAGGCAGCTGTTGCCGCATCCCAGAGCCAGGATCCCACATGCTTTTCTTAATCAGGAGAGAGTACTGGAGCAAGTCAGAAAATGCTTACCTTCCCCAGGACCTTTCTTCTAGGGCTGTTTCTCCATCCGGGGGGAAGCCGCAGGCCTCTGTGTACAAGAGGTAAGCACATCTTTAATTAGAAACAAAAGCAGCAAAGGGGCTGTTGTTCTTGGTTTACCTGCAGGAGGGTCCAGGGAGTGGAGCGATTTAGCCTTACCTCTCTCATTGGCCAGGAAAGAGATAAATGTTATAGAGTCACAGGGAAAATAGAAAGATGATCGTAAAGCAACAGACATGGAGCCCTCCCTGGTGGCACAGGTTAAGCACTTGGCAGCTAACCAAAAGGTCGGCAGTTCAAGCCCACCAGTGGCTCTGCGGGAGAAGAGCCCTGGTGATCTGCTTCCATAAAGATTACAGCTTAGAAAACCCTATGGGGCAGTTCTACTCTGTCACATAAGGTTGCTCTGAGTCGGAATTGACTTGATGGCACCTAACAACAACAAAGTGACAGGCAGAGAGGCGCGTGCTATTGTGGAAAATGTTTGCTTGGGTTTTGGAGTCAGGATTGTGGAGGCTGAATCCCATCCCAGCCACTGTGTGGCGGCAGTAAAACCTGTGAAAGGTGGAAACCTGTCAGAGAAGGAAACGCAAATATTTTCCACCAAATACAGAGCAGTAGAAAAGTGGTGACTGCATCTGTCAAAGACGTAAAACTTTCGAGACCCCGAGAGACAAGGCAGTCCCATTGAGTTCCAGGTTTCACTTACAGATTTCACTGTATTTAACTTGGGGTGAGTGATTTGGTCCCCCACAGTTTCAGTTTTCCTATCTGTAAAATGGGCAAATAGCACACACCTCACTGGGTGGCTATGACGGCAAGGTAGCTGCCAAGGGGAAGCTCCTGTTACGCTTTGAATGATGGCAGCCCCCTTGGAATAATGCAGCCTCTCAAGGTGACCTCCTCAAAGAGGCACAGCCTGTCAGGATGTAAGAGCTGGGTGTTTGTGACCAAACAGTGGGGTTACCCAAGAGACACATACCTCTTTCTACGTGTGGTCTAAAAAAGGGCTGAGAGTGGGGCCTGGGCTCTGTCAGCTCTCCGTTCTGACATCCTGGGGCTAGGGGGGTATCTCGGTGTGAACAGTTCTTCCTGAGCCTCTCTATCCCACGGCTCACCCTTCCTTCCGGAAGATCAGCCCTGACCCTTTTTTGTGGATAATCGCTGATCCTCCCCATGCCCCCTGTCTTAGTTACCCAGTGCTGCCTTAACATAATACACAAGTGGTTGACTTTAAAGAGCAGAAATTTATTTTCTCACAGTTTGGGAGGCTAGAAGTCCAAATTCAGGGTGTGGCTTCAGGAGGAGGGCCTTCTTTGTCTATTCCAGCTTCTAGTAGCTGCCAGCAATCCTTGGTGTCCTTGGGCTTGTAGATGCCTGTGCGATGTGTGTCTGTCTTCACACGGCATCCCCCCAACCCCCCAAGCCTGTCTCTCTGTTCAGCTCTTTTCATAATTCAGAAGGGATTACTTGTAGGACCCAGTCTGCTCTGGTATGCCCTCATTAACATAACAAAAAACCTATTTCCAAACAGGGTCATATGTACAGGTACTGGGGTTAAGGCTTCAACACATATTTTGGGGGGAGGGGGTCACAATTCAATCCATAACATCGTGTTATCATTATTTATTTCAGATCTACTGTTTACATGCAGGACTATCTAGTACCATAGGGGTTGGAGACACAAACTGCTCCCAAAGAGAACTAGAATGATCCTGAATCCTTATCCTTGAAATGAACAAATACAGCAGAGTCCGTGTATATCGGGGTCTGACTATGTAAGCGGGTGTTCTCCGAATTAACTTCCACGTAGACACAATGTTTACTAAAGTTCAAATAATAGAAATGTGCTAATTTGACACTTACGTACGTATTATTAAAAATCACCGGTGACTGCAGCAATTGTTTAGAACTTAGACCAAGAAAAGCTTTTTTTCAGGGCAGAGTGTTTTATCACCGACATTGTTTAGAATTGTCCACTTTTAGTAGGTTTGAGGTTTGTTTCTAAATTCCCTACAGACAATTCATCCCCTTATTTCCTGTATCTTGGAGAGATGGCTCCCACTGGCCCACGCTTGGCACCCCAATAGCAAGATGTTTCCAAGAGGGTTGTTGCTGGGGGGTGTGGGTGATTGGAACGCAGTCAGAAGATCCCAAGGAGGAGACCTTGTGGCTGAGTCTTGCCATGTGAGTAGGAGGTTTCTGGGTGGACTAAATGGAGAAGGGCCTTCTAGAAGACTGATATTAAGCCGAGGCATGGAGGTGAGACAGAGCCCGGAGTCCTGGGGAACCTGAAATTTGTAGGTATTTGGCGCCAGTTGCTGAAAGCCGGCGGGGTTCCAAGCACCTTCTGTGCATGTCTGTTAGCAGGGAGAGTCCGGCACCGCAAGCTTCATCCTTGGCGCCAGTTTGCCGGGGTGGATGGTGAGGCATGCCTCTCCTTGGGAGACCACCTGCCCTGCTTCGTGGGACCCCGGTCCTCTCTCTTTTCCTCTCCAAGCTTTTCACTTTCAGCAGAACAGTCTATAGAGGCAGCCATTCTAATTTAAAAATCTCATAAATACCAGGAGATAAGGATCCAGGGGTTTTGTTTTTTATTTTTGCCAAGACTCCCTAGAGAGTCTTTTCTGTAGGAAATGTCGCTTTAGAGCTGAGATTTTCTCCCAGACTTCACAGACAGGCAAGCCAGGCTTCTTAGGAACACAACAGCTGTTCAAACT